CTCTCCCCCCTCCCCCAAACCCCCCGGGCGAACAAGCGACAACAACACCACCCAACCACCACCTCCTCCCTGTAGTGGTATTAAGAGCAGACGCGTCGTTAGCGCAAGTAGAAGTAGTAGTAGTTGTAGTAGTTGAAGTAGTAATTGCCGCCGTCTAGACTTAAGGGGGTATGACGTCAGAACACACCAGCGTCATCGCAAAGGCTCGGTTGTTTCCCATTGAAGTCTCGAACCCGAGGCTATAACGTCAGGAGCACAATAGGGTTGTTAAAACAACTATTGTTTCGCGTGTGTCAAACGGCTGTGGAAAGCTATCACTTTTTGTGTAACCCACTTAGACACTTTGTTGCGGGCAAATTGAAACATAATGCCCCAACATTACAACAATGACACTCAAATGCACACATGCACATACAAGCACACACACGCACACACGATCACCGTTTGAACTCCGAGAAGCGAGTATGATATTGCGTGAAACCTTTCTCATGTGTTTGTGATTTTCATTTGACCTTGGGAGATATGTTTAATATGAGGTATTTATTGTGATTGTGACCACACCAACTCAGGTCCTAATTTATTAAAACCCAATGTTGAAGTATAACAGTACAGCATCTTGTATCTGTATATCATGTCCCCAAGTTAAAGAGAGATCAAATCATTATTCTAGTCATTCAAATGTCAGATCAAGTCATTTTTGTTGTATTAATGAGAGAGAAAGAGAGAGAAAGAGAGAGAGAGAGAGAGAGAGAGAGAGAGAGAGAGAGAGAGAGAGAGAGGGGGGGGAGGGAGAGAGGGAGAGAGAGAGAGGTCTTTTGTTAGAACATAATGTTCATAATCTGCCTATTGAATTGTAAAGCGTTTAGGGCCTGTGTACTTTAATCAGGATTGAGTGCTACATAAATGATAAACTAGTTATAACTATTGTAATCTACCTTTTCACTGTCATCAACAAATGAAGACTTGGAAGGAAGACTTGGATTCGGACCTAAAACAGGACAGACGTAGGGTCTTGTTGGGTAAGGGTCGAGAAAGTCTGATTTTGATGATGGATCGTTAAGTATGAGTATTTCGTCCTGATATAGATATTTCGTCTTTACATGAGTATTACGTCAACAAGGTGTTCACTCTCTCTCTGTTTGCCCCTTTCATTAACAACCTTTTTTTCTCTCTCGTCACCCTCTTTCTCTCTCCTCTCCCGATCTCTCTATCACTGACCCCCTCCCCCTACA